CGAGTAAAGTGCCGTACAAATGTGTTGCAGGTCTACGGCGTTCTTCGCGCAGCATTGCTTTATTATTTCAGTCGTTTACTGCCGTACGCACCCTGAAAGTTGTGTGTGTCTGCAGCAAGCGCGTGTTTGTGTACCTATGGACGCGCGCGCGTGTAGTGTTGTAGTGGGGAGCGGTAGTGTTGTAGTGGTTAGCGCGCTGCGCTACGAACCCGGCGACCCGAGTTCAATTCCCGCTCACGGCCACCACCGATGACGATTATTTGAACCGGTCCTGGGCCTCCCCTAGGTTGACTCAGCCTCAAACGAGTAACTGGTGCGGTGTGTAGACATCGCCACTCGGAAGACAATGGCGGTCGGGCGTGGTGAATCCAAGTCTCGGGCGAAGCCGGGTAGTAAAGCTAGTTTTTAATAATTGTCTGTTTCTCCCTTGTGATGGGACTTTGTAGGATGAATGTTAATAATTAAAAGGGCACGGGTTGCCCAATGAGGTCTGAATTGGTCTGTAATAAGGTAGGCACTGATAAGGGGTTCATAGGTATGGTAATGTTGTATAATCGTTGTGGTGTTCAACAAAGTGGTTTTGCACTACTCCTGGGTCTTTTATTTAGAAATCCATTCGACAAGCCGTCGTGCCGTTCAATGCCTGCAAAGAGGACGGGGGACGCCTCGGCAGAGGCTGGGGGCCCCGGGAATTTGGGCTTTTATTGTGGAGCACACCCAGAGGTGCCCCCAGAGCTCATTGTGATGCAGGGCCCCCGTGCGTCCGTTCGGTCGGCCGTTTCATTCCGCTAAACGCGGAAACGCGTGCCAGAGTGTCACACGTGGGCAACGTTGATACCGCGCGCGTGCCCCGCATTAAATAGCAATGTCATTGTTGCCGTGCCACGTGTGCAGTGACGTTTGATTTCGGTGGAATGCGGCAGAATGTGAAATGTGGATACCGATTTTTTTTATTTTTTTTTCATGAACCACGGTTGACGATTCTTCTCTCGACGATGCCGCCGTAGCGCGTGGCGAAAACTTGAGAGAAGTAATAATGCACGATCTGTGACCCAACTCGGAAGCCTACGCTTGAATTAGCATTGCTGGTTTCACCGTGTAATAATAATAATGACGATTTACATTTGTAAGGAGCATTTCATCCGTAGACCCCCAATGCGCCACCGTGTATGGAAAGCGGGAAATAAACAGAACCTGCAAGGTAAAAACGGCCAAAACTAGAGTGGTTAAGGCCAGTTTAAAGAGGTGAGTTTATATTCTGCACTTGTTCTGTTATGCGATTATCGCAACAGACACTGCGGTTCCCTTCCTGAAGCTAAACGCTCCGAAATGGAATTGGCCAAACATCCCAAGGCCGGACTGAAAAAAACCCACGCAATCATGGTAAAAAAAAATGTATTTTGCGCTCACACACATTTTTAAAAGTTGAGTAAATTCGTGGTCTTAGCCCAGTCACAAAAAACGTGTCATTAAGTTTGGTGTTGTGCATAATTTGGATAATTTTTACAGGTCTAAGAATTAAGCATATCTGTTTGAACACTGCTCTCACTGTGAATGGTGTAGACGGGTGGGGGAATTGCTGCCCCCTAGTGTCAATAAAAAGTAACGTTAATAAACCTCAGAAGTACAGTATGTATGTTGAACTTCTTTTGCACCGTACGTAGCCAACTGTGCTAATCGGAGGTGCGGTGGAAGGACAACAACACTAAACGAAAAAAGCAGTTCTTAAGAAATGAGTTTTCAATCGAGATTTAAAAGTGCATAGCTCCACAGGGGTTTCCTGATACTGGAAGGCAGAGCGTTCCAGACATCCGCAGAAGCGCATTTGATAGCGCGCGATGTCGTGAATAATAATACAGTTAATAACTCGCACAATATTTCACGGAAGATCACAAAAGCTTAGATCATAAGGGTGCTATTATAATCCAACACCGTGGCATAAATACGGATTGAATCATAATAATGCGCTGTCGTTTATCCAGGAAAGCCTCTCGCTGTCTTACGACCCTGTCTCCGGAGGGTACGGCATTGGGTGGCCTTGACCAATTCCATTCCTGAGTGCTTAGTACATGGAAAGAAACTCGGAGAAAACCCTCACCTTCACGGAGATTACACTCGCAGTGCCACACAGATTAGAGTCACTTGACTTGCTGTGCTGTCATCTTTTGCCCTGTCAAAGCCCGCAAGTTTGGGGGTTTGGCAGAACGTGCCATGTTACAGGCGTTAGCACTGCACCCGGTTTTCCGCTCGCTCAATCTGTTCACAAAAGACAATGATCGCACCGTGTAGCCTCAGCAGACTGTTGGGGCAAGTGCTGTTCGCAAGCACCTATAGAGGCCGGAATGGCACACGAGGGGGTTGGGTGGCCAGTGCCACGCCCGAGTGGCGATGTTTACACACCACACTAGGTACTCATTCGAGGCTGAGTCGACCTCGTAGAGGCCCAGGACTCGGATCAGATATTCGTCACTGGTGTTGGCCTTGAGCCCGGTAATCGAACTTGAGTCGCCTGGATTGTAGTGCAGCGCGCTTACCGCTAACACCACCGCTCCGTTCACGCGCACTCGCGTCTCTCGAGACAAAAGGAAATTTACTGCTCGACAAATTGTCCGCAATGGACCCTCATCTCAAACACTTCGTTCACTTCCACAGTTGCGCACGCACAGCCACCGCGGCCGCCAAGGTCGTCACGCCAATACAGCGTTCTTTGAAAGTGCCCTGTGGCGTCGCTGTTGATCTCACGAAGTCCCCCCGAGTAATCTGAACACTGGGAACCATAAACACTTGCTTTGAATGAGCACTGTGGCCCTCTTGGCATCCTTTCAAATGAACATGGCATGCCAGACCTCCTTGTTCACTGCATTAATAAACATGATCATAATTGTCGTGCTTTGTTAATCCACTGATGGGTGAAGGCTTCCCCCACACCGTGTTGGTCGTGGAGGTGAGCAGGAGGAGCGATTCAGTTGGCACTCGCCACTAATGTTTAGCCATGGCTGGAAATCAATCCCGGGTTAACTTTGTTTGTACCGTGCGATGCGGTGACCACCATCTATGTTTGATGGCAAGCCAGAAGCCGCTCCTGCGTTGATGACCGGAGTTCGCGTGATGTTTTACGCTCCTTGACGAGATCAGCAAGGTATTGTGGTAGTTCATTTTTGTCGGGACGACAGCGCTGTCGTCCCGACAGTTCTGTTCCTTCACCTGAAGAAGGCTACTTGTGTTGTGGCCGAAGCGTCGTGAGAATTTTATTGTCTTATTTTGCAGTCACGAAAGCTTTAAATCGAAACCCCCACCAATTGTTTTAATTTTGTGTGGATGCAGAGGCTCCCTTGGCACTTGTAGCTGGGGTTAGGCCTTTGTGTTTTATTTAACCTTAAAACAGTTATGCATTGTTACCGAGTTGCTTCTCTGATTAACTATTCCCATTGTGGGAAAATATTTCGTCGAGCCAAGTAGTCGCGTTGCCAGGCTAACAAAAATAACAGTGAATGTTACATATATGACTGCGGCCATAGTGATGGTGATAATTACATTCAATTGAATGTTAAAAATCATTGGTATAGAACATTTTATTTCACAATGAACATTTTAAATGTCAATGCAAACGAACAACGGTAGATTTCACATTTCCTTCCTGCGTAAAAAAATATACATTGAGTTCATAGTGTGTACGTTTCACAATATCTGCTGTACGCAGGATCCTATACGTTTATGCGCAGCCCATTCGTCAATCCACTGCTGGATGCCACGTGTGTATGATGCCGGTTATTCGGCTACACTTCACCGTGCAGATGAATGTGGGTTGTCGAATTTGGGGAACATAGACATTGTGAGCACAGTACAGTACAACAGTGGGTGTTTTGTTTTTGCCGCCTTCTGCTCACGACGTAGTGCTGCAGCAGCCTGTTGCACCTGTTTTTTTTTTTCACGGTTGCCCATGTGACCACTAATATTAAGAAAAACAAATATTTTACCAGGTAAGGCCAAGATGATCTGGCCACAAATGATAGCTCAACCCAAGTAGCTTATCACCTGGAAATATTTGGCAGCCAAATACTCTGAGCGCATGTCGATTAAAAAAAATCCACGCGACCACGGGGAGAACACGCAGACTCCAAATAAACAGCAGCAGGTTTTAGGGTCGTGATCGAACCCTCGACCTCCTGTTTACCAGGCGAGGTATTTAACATCTCGCCACCAGGCTAAAAATCCCGCTGAGCTTGGCGAGCTTTCGTCACAGCGAGGGTAAAGGCGAAGCCCTGCAATAACTCACGCCACTGTTAGTGGAAGGGCCTCCGCTATAGGTAGGAGCTACTTTAGCCTACTCTTTTACGCGTGCCAGACCTCTTGAAGGATGTGGGAGCACCCACACTTTACCCCACCACCACACACGTATGTGACCTGCCGATCGACTGCATGTGGTGAACCCACCGTTGGGTGGACAGAGGCGGGGTGGGTTTAAGAAACTAGTGTCGTTGTTTCAACTGTCGGCGACTTGTGGATTGCAAGTCGAGTGTGCTAACCATTCCAGCGCGGAAGCATCGCGTTTTAAAGTTTACACCCCGTGTGACGCTCTCATGCTATGCTCCCCAGTGATGCTCCCGTGTCATGCCCCCGTATGACGCTCCCGTGTTGTGCTCCCGTGTGACGCTCTTGTGTGATGCTTCCATGCCATGCTCCCGTGTGACGCTCCTGTGTGATGCTCCCATGTCGTGCTCCCGTGTGACGCTCCCCTGTTGTGCTCCCGTGTGACGCTTCCGTGTGACGCTCCCGTGTCGTGCTCCCATGTGACGCTCCCATGTGACGCTCCATGTGATACTCCCATGTCGTGCTCCCGTGTGACCCTGCCATGTTGTGCTCCTGTGTGATGCTCCCGTGCCGTGCCTCTGTGTGGCGCTGCTTTGTGACGCTCCTGTGTCCTGCGCCCGTGTGACGCGCTCACGTCGTGCTCCCGTGTTGTGCTCCCGTGTGCCGCTCCCGTGTGTCGCCCCTTCCAGTTCATCGTGGAGTGCCACGGGAACACGCTGCTCCCACAGTTCCTGGGCATGTACCGGCTCACGGTGGACGGCGTGGAGACCTACATGGTGGTGACGCGCAACGTCTTCAGCCAACGCCTCATCGTGCATCGCAAGTACGACCTCAAGGTGGGTTCGCTGAAGTCGGAGGCGTTGGGGGGGGGGGGGGGGGGGGGGGGGGCCGAGGTGGGGGGGGGGGGGGGCTGTGGTGGGGGGGGGTGGGGTGGTGTGCGTTGCGGCAGGAACGCTTTGTTCTCCACGCACGCCGCGCGGAAACAAATGCGGGCGGGAAGAGGGCGCCCGTTAACGAGAGCGACGACCGCCGTTGAATGGCAACGATGCCTGTAGGAGCTGCGCGTGGGCGGTTAGTGACGGGGGTGGTGTGTCAGTCGGGCCCCTCGCGTTCCGTGGCTCCCCGTGGGCCTCACCGCAGCACGCACCCCCGCCGGCTTTGGCTTCGGTGCTGCAGACGTTTGCGGTTAATGTGTTTTGCCGGCTGTCCCGTTGCGCCGTCGCTTTCCCTCCTCTGTCCGTTTCACCCTATTTTTGTTCCTCTTATCTTTTTCGAGCCTGCCTCTCATCCTGCACAATCACAGCTTGGGGTCACTACGGTTGTCTGTATGTGCTGTATGTTGAACTTCACCACGCATAGCCAACCGCGCTAATCGCAGGTTGCGGGGGTTGTGTTTAGGTGTTCACCGTTCCTGACGCATCTCCCTCGCCGTGCCCAATCGCAACCGCACGGTCATAATTAGTCTCGTGCCTCCGGGTTGCCGTGTGTTCACAGGCGTTGTGATTAGTATTCTAAAGGTAAATGCTTACCTAATTAAATCTAAAACTTTCGCTCGGGAGAGTCGCGTCTGTGCGGGGTTGTTTCAGCCAAGAAGCCTCGGAGCGTTAAACGGCAATTGGCTTTGGAAGGCAATCAGCAAGACACCACAGTAATTTTGTTCCAGTGTAATGTTTGATGTTAATTGAATGATGATAATAACTGTTTCCTCAAACTTTTAGTTTTAAATCTTGACTTGAAGCTTTCGTGACTGCAGGAATTCATGTTCTTTTTGGGTCTTTCGGTAAAGTCACGTAGGTAGGTTCAAAGAAAATAACAAACAAATAACAAACAAGTACGACTGCATTCAGCAGCATTCCTCCTGATGACGATGGCTTGTGTTCTTTTCGTATTTATTTCATTTGCGTGAATGTACAACCGTTCAATCGTGTGTTTTACAGTTGGTTACTTGAAAATTTCAAACAAAATTTTCCCAATTCACATCCTTTGTAATGTTTCACTTTGCAATCCAGAGGTCGCCGTTTCGATCGCCCGGCAAGTTTCTTCAGTGCACCCCGCTGCCTCTGTCCAGCCACCGCTCGTAAATTGGTCCCCCAGAGTTCGCCAACCAGCAGGTCACGTGCCGGTTCTCCCGACCCCCATCGAAGACTGCTGGTCGGCACGGAACAATTGGCCAAATACGAATCGCCTCACGAGCCTCCTCAACAGGAGATCCTCTTGCCAGCAGCGGTGTGAACAAGCGATTCGTCATCATCATCATCATCCTCATCACGATCCATAGGAAGATAGCCCATGGGTGTCCACTGCACGTTTTGTCATTTCTTTCCACTTTGCTCTGTATTGTGGGAATATGCACAAGTAGTGGCCACATCTTTCTGGCACCAATCTCTTATGTCGTTGTCATTGTCGTCGTCATCATCATCAAGCCATTCTCAGTGAGGTCTTTCTCTCTTTCCGGTTCCTTCTATTTTTTTCCTAACAACGCACTTTTGATTTTCTTTGTTGTCCATCCTACAAGCGATTGCAGGGCTCTATAGAGCGAGCTATATACACCCCGCCCCTTACCGGTGTTATGGTCACAGTTTTTGCTCGGTATATTTTAAAATCCGCATTTATTTATTTCGGTTATAGTGATGTTTTTCTGTATTTTTCAATGATAAAATTTGCTCCCATTTCCTGAACTATCATCCCCTAATACGTTGCGGTCGTGAGTGTAATTATGCTACGCTCAAAAGCATGGTTACAGCAAAAGGTTAAATAATTAGCTTGCGTCGTTGGTGTGTGTGTGTGTATATATAGTGGACGAAGTCTCAGCTCAATAAAAGAAACCGGGTTGATGGGCTGTGTTGTGCTTGACAACACCTGTCCTCGCATGCCATGCTTGATGCTCGATTAATGAATGTGCTGGGCATGCGCGTGCCCCATTAAGCTTAAGCCATTGCACATTCCGTGTCACACCCCGCCACCCGAAGCAGCACTTGGCAGTAATTATTACATTTATTGCCTCAGAAATGATGGTGACTGGGAAAGATAGCTTAATTGCCATTTTAAAAAAATTGCCATTTAAAAAAAAGAGATAATTGCGGCACTTATTGCGCAGCTTTATTTTAAATCACCCGGGGGGGGGGGGGGGGGGGGGGTGGGGCTTTTCACGGTTCCGAGGATGTGTTAGCGCCAAGTAATTTCAACGACTTAACTCGGGTTGGAGTGACGATTTTTTTTTGAGCTGTAAAGATTTAGTTGAAATGTTCCAATCTCGGGAAGCCAGGGAGAAAAATATTTTTTTTGTAAATGTGACGTGAGAGCGCTTCGTGTGTGTGGGGCGGGGGAGGGGGCTGCCTCGTCGGTCAGAGCAACGGAGCCGGCGCTGTTGAGAACCTGGGTTCGAATCTGGGTTACAGCAGCCCCCGTGGTTAAACCAGATTCTCAAGTGTAGCCCGTTTACGGATTCAGCCCCGGTCACCCATGGCTGAACAGAATATTCTCCTTGGAAATTCGTTTAATTCTTGGTGTGAGAATACATTTTTTCATTTAATGTTAGTTTGGCGACCAGAGAATGAATAATAGCAGGGGTGCCTGGCAACGTGGAGTGCCCTCGGTGTGGATAAGGGGCCACTCTCAGGGGACCTCGGAAGTGCTTCTGTGATGTCGTTTTCTGCGGGCTACTCTCAAAGGTGTGCGGCCATTCACCGATTTGCAAGAGGTACGAAGAAACGCGTTGCCTCGGTGTGACGCCGACCGCACTCCCTGGACTAAAATTGATATCATCCAAATTGTGAATATCAGGGCAAAACGCACGCAGGATTTCACAAATATAAATCACCCCACAAGCGGTTGTTGTGCTTCTCGCCCGAGGTTCGGCGCTTGGCTCGCGTGCTGCGTATCTGTCGCGGTCACGCCAGCTTCACGCTGTGTTGTTTTTTATTTTATTATTTTACGCCAGCGGTGGCATCTGGCGCCGTTCCTGACCAGGGCGCCGCATTGGCAAAAGGATGTTCGTCGTGAATGCGTTCCTGAAAGGCGCGACGACGAATATGGAAACGACGTCAGTAGTCGGCTTGATTTACAGGCTATAGTCGGTGGGTGGAGGCGGAGGCCGAGAGGCGACGAGAGAGGACGGACGACGCTGTCAGCGGACGTAAGTGTGTGGGTTGCGGCGCTAGCAATGAAGTGGCGACGCATTTGCGAAACGATGTAAGAAAGGGGGAGACGCAAATCGGGGTATTGGTGTGATTTGCATTGCATTAGATTAATCCATCGGAATGCCTGACGGACTCTCCCCCATTATCCACGCCCAACCGACTCCCGAGCGAGAGCGGACCGTGGCCGCTGCGGACGGCCCGTTGCCTTCACCACCCTCTTCGAAACTGGTTCCAGCGTGAACACCTAAAAGTTAACACGGCAATGATCAGCATCTCCACCGCTGCCGCCGGTGACGCAACGTTTGGCATCACGGCCTGCTGCTCGAGATGGCGAAAAATCATCGGATGCCATTCTTGCTGTTCACCCAATCGACATGATGCCCCGCAACCGTATTCAATACCTGTCAACCCCTTATCAGTGCCCTACCTCATTGCAGACCAGTTCAGACCTTATTGGTCACCCCGTGCCCCTTTTAAATCTCAACATTCATCCTGCAAAGTCCCATCACAAGGGAGAAACAAACAAATCGACAAAACATGTCTTTTATGCTCGTATTGAAACGTCTGTACGCCGTATGGACCTGAAAACTCAATTTCCCTGTACAAGAATACGGGTAAACCGTATGGGTTGACATGTATGGTACTGTCACCTCGCTGGGTGAACACAGCTGGAAAAGGATTAGGAAAAATGTCCTCCCTCAAGGCTCAGCATGAGCACCATCACTCTTGAACATCTAAAACGTAGTAGGCTTTCACGACCAATACTATCCATAACAGAGGTTTTTTTGGGTTAGATCACGTAAATGTTCTTTCTTTGTTAAACCCGCCACCACCAGACACAGCCATTTAGTAAGGTTTGTCCTGTAAATAAAACATGCTAAATCGTTACTACTTCAGCACACCAGTTCTTTGGAGAGTAAACCCACAACATTTGCCATTCGGATTCCACGTTTCGCTGGTAATTACAACCAGCCTCATCAGGCGGCAGCCAGAGTTGTGGAGTAATCCTCCTGTTTCATTCTTAAATAGAGGGATAAATGTGATGTCGTCACTTGTGAGCCAACCAGAGTGGGTGGGGGTTAATGCATGTATATAAATTACAATGAATATCCATTACCGGTTGGGTTATTCATAGGGTAATCAACATACATAATGTGCATGCACAGTTCGCATGCGCGATGCACATACATTATGCATGCACATTATCATTCCGTTTTTGTGTGCAAGAAATTGCAATGCCTGATATTGCCTGCTCACAGTTAATCATCTAGATTCATCACCATACCATTTACATTAATGCGATCTAACTCAAAAACCTCTATTGTGGACTATTTAACATCTATATATCTTTACATCACCTGCTATGTGCATCATCTTGCAAGTTCATATATGGAGATGACATAGCCCATGCTGCACAGGGCACGGACCTCGAGAACATTAAAAATAATCTTGATTTGAAGCTTTCGTGACTGCAGGAATCCATACTCTTTGGTTCTTTCGGTAAAGTCATCACGTAGGTAGAAATAAATTTAAATAAAACAAATCACGACGTTTCGATTGCAACACAAGCGATCATCATCAGGTGGGAAAACCACAGCAAGAAAATTCTGAAGTAGGCGGGAGAGCTGCCGTGGCAAGAGGTTATATAGGTAAGAGAGGGGGGAGAGAGAGGGGGGGGGAGCGCTTTAGGGGGAGGG